AATTTGCTTGTTCCATCAGAATAAATTAAGCATATAAATCATATGGGAATATAATGTTAATAGTTCTTTTTTTAAAAAGTAACTTCATATAAAAAATATTTTAAGTTAAATAAATGGAAGCTTATAATTTCAATAAAATATGTGTGAGATTGATTTAAATTTTCCAATAGAATATTTCAAGATCAAAACCAATGATTAGTTATCGATTGGAATATAAGATAACTATAAGAGCAACGGTGAGAAACTGTTCGAAATATTAGCGAATGAAAATCAAAACAAATTAAAATTATCTATCGATTTTTTTTGCATGTGAAGACGAACTATTTATCAATCATTGAAAAGTGAAAATAATAAATTTTGGAAGTGATAAAAAAGGCAAAGTTAAAAGAATCAAAAAAACAAACAACCATCTCAGAAATTTCGATGATTTATAATTTAATTAACCTAAAATTAATATAACAAGTGAAGTCATAAACTTACTTCATAATAAATCAATAATATTAAAGTTTAAATCATAAAATGAAATAAATTAATAATAAATAATTAATATCAAAATTACGATTATCATTTATTATATAGTTAAGAAAATGAATAAGCAATGTTATGAATAATTTTTTGCATAGAATAAAACGAAAAAGTATATGAAATACATATTGCTAAAAAAATTGTTGAAAAATTTATTTAGTAAAATTTTTTAAAGAAAAAGTATTCTCTTATAAGCATTATAAACATGAAAATATGGTATCAAATTCAAAATACTATCTACTAATTATTAGTTACTATTTAAATAAAAGAGTATTAAATAGTTTTTAATTTATACTATTTAACTAATTACCAATTAATATTAATTGCTGAATATCAATCAATTACTATTTAAAAAGAAAATTTATATTTATTAAATGTATGCATGAATGATTTTTCTGTGCGAAGGTATAAAATTTTTTCAGCTAACGAAAATATAAAATTGAAAATAATAATTGAAAATTATATAATTATATTCAAATAGAAAAAGTAATATATAAATAATACGGATTAAACAAAATTGTGTATATAAAAGAAAGTCGATTGATTTAAATTATTGATATAAAATTTTTAACAAAATAAAACAATATTCATTTCTTTCATTTATTTAATTAAATTTAATTGAATGAAACAATAATTATAATAATGCTATTTTTTCAAGTAAATTAATAAAATGAAAATTTAATTATTATTAATGATTGTGCCAAATATTATTTTTCGTGCCAGTTAATTATTACATAAAATTGTTAGCAAATAATTTTAATATCAAATAAGCTGTCAATCACAAAAGCAAATAATTAATGCGTAATATTTGCATTTTTGAGAGGTCAATTCGTTAAGAAACTATTTTATAGTATTAAAAAAGAGAGCAAGTAAAAAAAACAATTAAAAAATTAAGTAATCAATTTATAATAGATTAAGATTATCCATAAAAAAGAATAAATAAGAAATTTTGTCAAAACTATTTTGAAAACAGAAATGAAAATTTTTTAGATTGAAAATTAAAAACAAATTTTTTCCTTTTTATATTTCATTACTTTTTCAGTAAAAAAATTTTTATTTTATAGTTTATTTAAGTAATGAAATAATGATTCTGTTGTAATGAATAATTTTGGAAATGAATATATAATTTTCAATTCTGCAATGTTTCTTACTTCGGAGGGTTTTAAAAATGTATTGTTTTAAGTTAGTTTCAAATAATATTTTTAATTGAGCAATTAATGAATTGAATACAAAAAATGTATATATATTTATGCATTCATTAATAACATTTTTCTTTAACCATAATTTGAATATATTACTGAATATTACTACTTTGAATATTACTACTGAAAACAAACAATATTAATAATATTTTTTACCGTAATCTTAGTATTTCAGTATGATATTAATAAAATGTATCATTTTTTATTTATAAAATAAATTAATTATTTTTTCCTATTACATATAAATCTAAATTCATTATTGTAAATTTATATAAATTTATTAAATTCGTCGTACACATCAAATTATTTAAATTGTCTTTTTGCTTTATAAAACAAACAAACAAATTAGCTCAATTAGTAAGTTAATTAATTGAACTTTTTAATTGAACAACCACTAATTGTATTAATGCTCTAATAAGTATTTTCAATTTTGAACATACAAAAGTAATTGTGAGAGAATGAATTTGAATAGTAACAGAAAAGATTTGAAAAGCAAAATAGCTTTTGAATAATAAGCAATTGAAATTTTCATCACTAAAGATGGCACTTTCCAAGAGAAATAATATTGTAAAAATTTCTGAAATATTTCGTCAAATTTTGAAACATAAAAAGAAAAATGTAGTATTTCAGTTGAAGGATCGATCCGATCGATTCGCTATTTGCATGAATAAGACATATATATGATAAAGTTAAGAACGAATAAGTTAGATTGATTGAACTAATTGATAAGAGACTAAAATTGAATTAATTATTTTATTCTAAATTTAGGTTGCGATTTTTTTAAATGATCTGTTTATTTCATTTTAATTTCTTATATTTATGAGAATCAATCAATCCAGTTTTAAAGAAAAAACTCAAAAAAACTTGTTTATAATTTAATTGGATGAAATAATATTAAATTCATTAAGAGTTGAGATAATTAAAAAAATAAATAATTCAAATTAATATTATCAATTAGCAGCAATATTTTAACAGAAATCATTTTTCAAATCTTTTCGAATTCAAGTATACTACTTTATTTACATCTATGTCTATAAATATATATATATATATATATATATATATGATAAAAAGAGTGATAAGTTCGAACATATTTTAGAATTCATAAATATTGAACTGCAACTTATCAAATTAAAAATAATTTCTCATTTGGATAATATAAAATGCTTCTTTTTGCTGTTTGTTTTCTTCATTAAAATATTTCTTTTCCCTCTTTATTTAATTTTGTTATAATTGATAGAAATATTATCAATTTCATTGACAGAAGTCCTGTTTTATGATATTAATCTCTTCTTATCAAACAACAACGATATTTGTACAATTTAAAATTATTATCGTAAAATGAAAGAATTTTCGAACCTTACAATGACACAATTTTCCAATAATGTCATATTTGATATTTAATGAAAATAATAAAATCTTGTCGAAAAATCATAAAATTTCTATAGTTAAATTTGTATTTCTGTACGGTTCATAAATTTCTAAAAGAATTAAAAGATAAGAATAAATTGCCAAAAAAATAGTAAAGTAAATTTTCAACGATCAATAGAGTTTTAATATTTATTATTTGTACAACAATGATCAATAAATTTATCGTTTCTGACACCTTCCAGGAGATCATCAAAGAGTAAACTATAATAATTTAAATTTCTTTTATTAAATTATTCTATTGAATTTTATAGTTAAATATTTGTTAATTTATTCCAAAGATATGTTTGACATTATTTTATCAAAATTTTATCACAAGGAAAAGATTTATTTAATAATTATCACAAGGAAAAGCTTTATTTAATAATTAATTGAACTCACTTATACGAATTATGTCCCATTTGTTTTTTACTTAATTAATTTTTGAAAAATTCTAAAATTAAATTTTTATTTGCATTTTTATATCTTTACGAATAAAATTAAAAAAACTTATTTTAAGTAAAGAAAAGAGAGAATTCGATCAAATTTAACTAAAATTCAACATGCGGCATATAACATTTTATTGAAACTTTCTTAACGAAATTATTTTGTCGAAAAAAATTTTACTTCAAATTTCAAATTGAATTCAAAATTTAGCCAAACTATCAGATTTCAAATTAGAAGGAAGCTACACGACAGCTACAAGTCTTTGCTAATAAATTTAATTTAATTTTCAAATTTCAAAAACGATACTGTTAACGAATGATCTATTAAAAGAAAAACAGAATGGAAAAGTTAAGATTGTTTAGAAGTTTGGTAAAAGTTACCATATTTTGCTTTATTATATATTTTAAATATAAACTCCCACTTTTTGAAACTTATTATTATTGTCAAAAAAATATATAATAATTAAATTTTTAATGATAAACTTATAATCCAATTCTATAACTAACTCTTCTAATGATAATCTCGCATAGGAAAATATAAATAAAATGCGTTTATTATACATAAATAATCTTAAAAAGAGAAATGACTAATTTCAAAAGTTTTAATTTCTTCCAAAAAAAGAAGTAAACATTACCACAAATATTACGACGAATTTATTTTATAATTAAATTAAAAAACACAAAATAAATCAATACAATTAGAAATGTTTTACAAAAGAAGAATTTAAAAAATGGACAAATTCTGGTAGATCTGAAAAGAATTAATAGTTGAAAAGAAGGCACAATCTAAGTTTGATAAAATTATAGAAAATCTGTAAGAAACAAACAAATAAACAAATAAACAAAAAAGTAAATACTGTTACGGTAATTTATCAAAATAAAATATGTTCAATGTAAGATTTTAAATATGAAAACAAATTTCTAATTTTAAATAAAACTGAAATGACCTATGAAATAATAGGTTATAATGATATTTGCTTCAATTGCATTACGTCATTTTTCAACAATTTTTCATTTCAGCATACAAATATTTCAGAAACTATTTTATAAGTAGATGGAATAGAATAAGTAATACATAGAGAATTTAATATTATATATATATAGTTACAGCTATTTAAAAAAAGAATAAACTGCTAATAATATAAGGATAAGTATTTATGAGCAAATAGTAAAATCAAACAATACTAACATTTGGTCATTTTTAAATAAATTAAATCCGTTTTAGCCTAAAATTACAATTATTTTAAGACAAATATCTTCGAAATATTTGTAATTTCCACAAAAATAAAATAACCAAAAAATTTCTAAAGTTTAATTCAAAATATTTAATTTTTAAAAATGACAAATAAAACAATAACATTTAAAATTATCACATATAAAGAGAGAAGAGAATAAAAAACAGAAGTCATTTCAAAATTTTCTAAACTTTACTAAACTTAAAATCAGATTCTTCATTGCTGTAGCAATTTTGACAATGAAGCTTAGAATCACGGACCCGAACATCGGTACCACAAGTTCCATTTCCCAATGTCATCTTGCAAATGTAACATCGGAAGCAACTCAAATGATAAAACAAATTCAATGATTCAATAATCATTGCAGCACCACGTCCTATAAAAGATTGAAATAATATCGAAATGATAATATATCTATTTCAAAATAATGAAATGTTTTTTTATTACAATCTTATTATAATTAAAAAAATATAGATATATCCGATTAAACAAATATATATATATAGTTAACCATATAATCATTAAAATATATATCTGTTATAAGCAATATAACAATAAATTTAACTTAATTAACTTAATTTATATAATTATTAAAATATATATACTTGTTATAAATGAAAATAACACTAATGAGTTCTTATGAATAATTCAATTCACTGATGTATGATAAAATAACAATTCTTTATTTACCTTGAAAAGGTACATACAGAATTAGAATCAAAATTATTATCATGCATTAAGAGAAAAAGGTGAATCACAGTAGTATAAATGCAAGTAATTAAGCATAGCAGGTATATTATTATGTTTTTTCTTTTAGACAATAAAAATGCAAGCAAAGCCTGAAAAGAAAAATGGATACATACAGATATGGATGATAGAGCAGGTAGGTTGATATTTAGAAGCGTAGATCACATTTACAATTCACTAAAATGATTTGATAAATTTTGCAAAATTATAATAAGTGTGAGAAAAAAAAGAAGAAGCAATTTTTTGATTATTTATAAAACAATTGTGCAAAAATAATTTTATTGTTTTTATATTAATTTTTGAAAAATAAATTAAGCAAATAAAATAATGCTATAAATTTATGTGAATTTTGGAATGGCATACTAAATTGCAAGCATTGGCAAGTTTTGAAAGTAAAAGAAAAGTTAATAAAATATGTAAAAGATAAAAGTTAGTCTTTATGAATTTAAAAAGAATAAAAATTTATTTAAAACAATGGAAATATTTTCCAGTAAAAAAAAGCATTTCTATATGCGGAAATAAGCATAGTACTACGTTTGAAGCGTAAAGTATATAAAATAAAATAAAATATTATGATGATAACTTGCCAAGTTCCATACTGCAGTGTGAACATTGATGTTTACCACTCACTGATAACAGTGGTTCATCTGTATTTGATGAAGGTTTACTGATTGCTTTACGATTGTTTGATTCATCCGACTGAAAACAAAAGAAGTGATAAAGAAAATATTTTAAAAAAAATCATAACTAATATTTTGAATTATTAATTAATTAAATAGTTTGAAATTATCAAATTAATGACAATTCATTAACATTGTCAATTTTTATGATACAATTTTAGCACTTATTAATAAAGTTTTAATTTTAATATTTGAATGCGAAAAAATTTTACGTGATCGAATGAGTGCCCAAACAGATTTACAATTTATTAAATTAATTATTAATATCAAACAGATTTTAATTTTATTAAATTAATTAAATTAAATTCTAAAATTACATGAATGTTATGAAACAAAAACTATCTACCGCATAAGCTCTGTTTGAATCTGATGCAATAAATCGATTGTTCTCGAATGATTTTCTGGATTGATCAGCGGATGAAAGATTTTCGATACCCGAATCGAATTTTTTCATTTGTATCATTTCTGATTGTGGCAAATGCCTTGTTATCTTTCTGCATCCATAACGTGAGCTATAATTCAGAATTAAATTAATTAGGCTAAATTTTGAAAGTAATTCAAATCTGAATATAAAAAAATAAAACATAAATTACTTAAAACACTACAAAAATTATGCTTAAAAGATGGAAGATTGAACTTCGATTGATCGAATTTTGTGTTAAAAAAATTCGAAATGAAATTTTGGCTCCAAAAAAAGAATTTAAATTGAAAAGTTAATAAAAATTTTTGGGAATGAAAGTTTCTAAAGATATAAAATTAGCCTATGATGTGTTTCAGTATCCATATTTGGATGAATTTGAGACTTCGAATTTGCATCAATTCGATTACGACTATCCGGATCACCAGAACTTGGTAAACGTTGTTGCTTAACAATTTGACGCCAATCTCGGGAATCCTAAATATGCAAGCAAAAATTTTTCATTTCATTAATCACATCAATTACACTCATTTTAACTATTCTCTATTCTTTAAATGAATATTGCTTGACATAAGCTTTGACAATTTAACTATAATACAAAGAAAGGTTTTAAAATTTAATTTTTTAAATGAAAGAAAGAAACAAAATAAAATATAATAAGTTAGACAAAGTAATTTATTTCATTATTTTTGTCTTAAAAAAAGTTTGTAATCAAACAAAGAAAGATAAGATAAGATATAATTTAATCATTTGAGATAAGACATATTTCGAGAGATAATTTCTTCTTTAGAATTTATGTCTTCTTCTGTTAAACATAAAAATTTGTTTTATTTTAATTTTTAAATTCTTTCTAAAATATTTTTACAATTAAACATACTAACCGTTATCTTTGTTTGATCTGTACTATCATTGATATTATTTTCTTCGACCATTATTACATCCCTCTAAAATTACATATTCATTATTACTATTCCTTAAATGTATTAATAAAATATTATCAAAGACATCAAAAGTCTTATCGTTTTTTCTTTTTGCAATATAAACATTACATTATTGTAATTTTATTTTATAAATATAATTTACCTGAATGGCTGGAAGGTTGCATGGTACCACGTAACCATTTCGTCGATATTCACCACCCATATTTCTGGGCAATGACATCGTCTTTGCTTCATCTTTCTTCATCCAATAACTTATCTAAAATATATAATAACTCGCAAATAAATGGATGAATTAAGTTTGATATTTGAAGATAAAAATATATTTAATAATTTAACTTCAATTGATAAATTTCTCTCAAAGTTAATCAAAATGCAATTCGTGACAAGTAAAGTAAAGCAAATGGTAACGATTTTAAATTATATTTCCTAAAATAAATAATAATTACGTAATTTTAATTAATTGAATAGTGTGATGAATACCTTATGTTGTATTGGTGATGTTGTAACACTTCGAACTGGAGTAATGTCATAATTACGCAATACAAGTGGTACTTCACTATCTTCCTCACTGGTAAACAAATTCGTAAAACCGTCAATATCGCTTTCTATAATTTAATTACTATTCTTCGTTTAATTTTGTCATGTTGTTTGGATTTAAATTTGATAAAATAGTAAATATTCATTTATATAACTATAATACCATTATATTTTTATTATTGAAATTATTATAATTGTTCGATTAGGCACATATGCAAATATGAAAGATGAATCATCGAAAAATAATAAACTTATTTTGATATTAAGCCTATTAATAGACGTATCTTTTCAATTATCAGGCTTTTTCATTCAAATCACTCGATGGTTAGCTTACAAACAAAATAATTAATAATAATAGTAATTATCATGATAATTATGATAATAACAGAAATACTTTTAATCCATAACGTGAAGAAATATTTTCAAAAACAAATAGAAATCAAATCTTTTAATTAGTGAATTAATTAATCTTTGAACGCTTAAAATACACAAAAAGCATAAAATAAAAATTTTATTGAAGAATTGAAAATATTGTTCTTGTATTATTTTGAAGAGAATTTATTGCTGTAAGAGAAAATGATAGAGATGCAACCTCGTCTTGAGAAGCTTGAACTGTAAGCAGAAGCACCATCATCCTGATCATAACCAGCATCTGTTTTTCGTTCCACTTCCGGTACGAAATCGGCCAATTTACCAGGTTTTGGCTTATCGTGCAATGATGTGACACGATAGTCTGGATCACCTCCGCCACCGGTAATAGAACATGATGTACTACTAGCCAATGATGTACGACTGGAAAAACGTTCGCGTGAATGCCGCATAGCATACTTTCCATTTACATATGCCATTCGTGGATCATCATCGTCCAGATTTGAAACTGATGATAAAACTGAATTGCTACGCGTAACGTGTCCATCCTTCACATTATGTGCAACAGCAGCAATCGTAACAGAAGGAGCTGTAAGAAAATCAGAGACCGGTTCAAAAAAATGGATTCCAAACAACTTCAGTTTGATCTTCTAAAAATTTGATCGACAAAAAGTTAAGCTAATTTGTTACAAATATTTCATTGATAATCAAAAAAGTTATGCTTGTTTACAGTTCACATTAATATTTAGGTGAATTTATTAAAACTGTCCAATAAATATAAGTTTTCGGATTTATGGACAAGCAAAAAGTTACCGTCTCAGGTAACAAAAGAAAGCCTCTTTTTTTCGCGGATTTGATTGTAAAATCTTTCTTTGAAATCTAATTCATATTAAACAACGTGCATTTAACCTTTATCCATTCTTTCAATATCTTCTTGCATGAATGCCAAGAATCCATAAAAAATTTTCAGGAATTTACCATTTTCTGGATGTTTAGTGACATTTCCAGTTGACCATTTACGTGCCGGAGAAGAATGTTTTTGTTTTCGAATTCCTTTACAACTACTACTATCCTTAGCGATACATTTATCATCAAATAATGCTCGTTTTTGATCAAATGAAATTGTTGATCGTTGATCGATAGCTGGCGAAAGATTCTCTGCTGATATTCGTGGACCTATAAAATACTACTAATTCTTACATGAGCAAATTTATTTATATGAAGAATGTAAACAATCTATTAATGAATTATTTGATATGTTCATAGTTGTATCATAATTTACTGCAGTGATCAAATTATTTTTTTTGTTTAGACTAAGTGATAAGTGATAAGTGATAATAGACAGTATTGGTTGATGAATTATTCCCATAAGTATATTTTTTTGCAAATTAAATTAATTTGATTACCTAATATTATGCCTAAAAAATAATTTTGCTATTTCACTTGGAATTAATTACCAATAACGGCATTATCAGATCGTCGAATTCTTAATTCAATATCACCAACACGTTCTGCTTCATGCAACATTCTTACCACACATTGATAATATCTATCCATTAGTGATTCACCATTTATACTTAATAGCAAATCACCAACCTAAATTTCTTCCCATCTTTTTAAACTTTCTTCAAATTTTAAATGAAGTAAAATTTTATTTCTAATCAATACTATTATGATAACTGAAACAATGAAATAATTTATGTAATCTTCCTGTGCAGGAATTCATATTATGCTGTAATTCAATTATTTCATAAATTATCATCTAAAATCTAATAAGAGATATCCTTCATAACATCTCAACTATCCAATTTTTAATGTTTAAAGTATTATTGATGAATTTTAATACACTTAAAGCTAAACTTAATACATTAAAAGAATAATTTTGAAGTAAATAAATAAATTTAATTGTTTAAAAAGTTATAATTTTTCATGGAAAAAAAGGAAAGGATAAGTAAGGAACCTGTAATCCAGCTTGATCAGCAGGTGTTCCTACAATCACAGCATCAATTTTTACTGGCGCATTTTTATCTTTACCACCAGCAACTGTAAAACCGAAATGTTTCCTTGTATCATTTCCATCCTCCTTACTCAAATTAATCTTCACATTAATTATTTCGCCAATACCATTTCGCACACTCTAGAAAATGTATAAATTAAGGATAAAGTTATTTATTTAAAGGTTCTTTTTTCTTTATTAAAATAAATTGCTTATTTAAATAATTAATTAATTTCAATATATGAATTTCTTTTTTGGAATATTTGCTGTTTATATCATTTCCATAAATTATTTTCAAAATCATAGTCTAAAATTTCGAAGATTATTTGTAAATATTGAAAATTTATAGCAAAAGTATATAAATGATTATTGGCTTAGTAATATTTAATTTTAAAATTCATTCTGATAAAATGAAAACCATTTTCATATTATCTCTATCGATGCTGCTCGGTTGATAAGCGGCACTTGGTTTATCATCAAATTGAATATCAACCGTTTTCAGATGTGATTTTGGAACAACTACCTGTAGAAAGGTAAGAAATGAAAGCTGCAAATGTAACAATCGTATCAATTATTTCATTTTCTATTACATAAATAAACAAAAAGTGACATTAAAATAATAAAAGAAATTCAATGAAATAGCAAAATGTTATAATATTTTAGAATTTATTCATTTTTGTTTATCGTTAAATAAAGAAAAAAGTGAAAATTTAAGTGAAAAAAAGTAAATTTCTGAATAATTAATTTGAAATGAAAAAATTAATAAATTAAAAAGAATAAATAGTAATTAAAATGAAAATAGAAGCATAAAGGATGAATTCTTTGATAGAAATTGACAAAAGAAGAAAAGATATGGTAAGGTTCCGAAATTGAAATGAATTGAATTGAAATGAAATGAAATAAAATGAAATTATTTAATTGGAAATGGAATAAAAGAAAGAATAGATTTCAAATATGATTAAATCATTTTTCATTTTTCTTTATATGTAAAACAATAAATTAATGAATGAAATAGAAAATGCATATTTAAAGCTTAAATTGATGCTTTGTTTAAAATTTTGCAAAAAATTTTAATTATGAATATTCATTTTTTATTTTACTGCTCTAATTATGCAAATTTTTTCCACTAATTAAAATTATTTGATTATTTTTTGAAAATTATATATTCTGAATGACAATAATTAAACCAAATCGTGAAATAAATTTACTTTAAGCAATAGCTTTAATTTAATTCATTAGCTTTAATTTTTAATTCAATTTAGGCGATAAAATTTAAGAGATAAAGTAATTGTTTAATTAAATAATGGTCAGTAATGTTATAAGTAAGTGAAAAAAGTTTTATAATGAAATAGACAGGTATAAATAATTGGTAATTAACATTTAAATAATAAACCATTCATATAAGCTTCTAATTTGATTATATATAATGCAAGCATATCGTAAATAATATATACATACCTCATGAATTTCATTTGTTAAACGATTAGTTCGTGAAAATTTTGGTGATGTACGTGGATAGATTCCATCTATGGTTCCTACAAGATGCCCTCTGGCTTGAATTGATGATAGCGTTGCTGAAGTATACGGTAAAAATGGTGATGGTGATGTAGCCTGCAAAGCATGGAAAATACAAAGATAACAAAAATGTGGTGTACTTCTTATATGAGATTGAAATTCATTAATTGACAACATAATAAATATATATTTTAATATGATATAAAAAATAATGAGAATAAATAAAAAGAATGACAAACTTGTTTTGATTTATTAGTATTATCGATATCATTTTGAGCATTATCACTATTTGTTTCATTTATTGTCTTATTATAATTATGAGATGAAAAATTAGTTTGTCGAGGTGCTGGAAATTTCACAGCTGTGATATTAGCTGATTGTTCACGACATAATTTGACACCAATTGAAACTGAAACATTTTATTATTTTTCATACATCTACAGTTAATAATATTTGAGTAGTATGTCTAAATTAATATCCATTTATTAATATGCAAATATTTACAATATTTTACTTATACTAATTATATTTATATTAATTATATTTAGGAGAAAAGTATTTTCATATCTTTCAATTTTAGTTTTCTTTTAAAAAACTGACAAGAAAAAATAATATAAATATTACTTATCTCAAGTAGAATTTTGCAAGTTTTAAGTTAGCTATGAAATTATGGATTTTTAATTTTAAACATATCTTAGCACTGATTAATAAGAAAATTAAGGAATTTGAAAATTTGATTTTTCGTAAATTTCAGAAGAAAAAAAATTGAAGAAAGGAAAAAGATATATTACCACCCTCTGCTGCAGTTGCCGATGTATTACGTTTCCCCGTCAAAGTTGATAATGGTTCACGTTTTGTTGTTGATAAAGAATTGCTTGAAGAATTGTTTTTCTGAAAAAAATTATTGATGTCAAAATTGTCACAAATTAGTTCATTTAAAAAAATGTTAAACGAAATCTGAACGTATCCATCCGTAACGAAGAATAAATTTACGTTCGATAACGTATAGATTAATATAACTTCATCAGAACGAACCATATTGATATAGTCACTTCGATTATATAAATTATTTGCTGATATTACTGGTTGTTTTCCTGTTACCGTAGGTGGTAGAAGATAATCCGGTGGTGCTGGGAAATCACTATCTGAATCGGAAAGTTCACCAAGAAGATATTCGTTTGAATTATCAGCTTGTGTTGTTACACGTGATTGATTCTAAAAAGGTATAATTAAACTATTCGATTTGTTTCTTAGTAAGTTATCCATCCATCTATTATGCAAAAAATATTAACTCTTGAAATTAAAATTAGTGTGCATACATTGAACAAACAACTATCAGTGAAAAACTATGCATATATATATATATATATATAAGGTTGAAATTAAAAGAACGAGTAAAAACTAAATTTTTTTAACAAACCATAATTACTCATCTTTTTTTTTACCTATAGACAATAATTACTAATTATCAATCATAATTACTCATCTTTTTTTACCTATAAACAATAATTACTAGTTATCAATCATAACTACTCATCTTTTTTTACCTATAAACAAATAAAGGTACAAAAAACAAATGTGTTGATTGAAAATAGGATTTAAAAAATTTTTCCCACTAACTCAAAACTGTCAGATAGCAACGGCGGAGAGAGAAATGATCTGATAATTTTACAGCAACAATAATTTTGTGATAATCTCAGTAAATTTATTGCAAGGCTTAATGTTTATTGCTATCATTATCCGAATTATTCGATTTTTCAAGGACAAATTAAAAAGAGTTTAAAAATTTCTAAAAACAAGTTTTTCTCATTTTTTCCTTTGTTTTATTATTAAATGAATTTTTTACAATTTATAAAATCAATAATTTTGATATTATTTATAACAATTATATATATATATATAATAATTAAGCAAAACTTATCATTAAATGAATATTATCAAATAATAAATATTTGGGAAAAAAGGTGATAATTTAAATATCATTAATATGGTACTTTATTATAAAAATAATGAGTATCATAAGGTAAACTATAATTACTAACCTGTTCAGATAAATCAGCTTTTGTGATTGTATCTGTACGAAGTAATTTGCTAGTGGAAGGTGTTAAATAACTATCTTCTGTAGTAATTGTACTATAGTCAAGTACCGGATCAGTAAAGCTTTTTTCAGGGAAAGAGAGAATTGATGATGATGGATTTTTCGGTGATGATGGTGATAATGATGAAGCAAATGAATGCGTCGTATCCAATTGATTTAATTCAACTGGAAATAATAAAGAAAACAAATTAAAATTCAATTCAAAATATAATCATTAAAAATTTTTTGGTTAATTAGCTACATTCATCTGTAATTATTCTCTGTACTAATTAACTTCAATAATAATAAATAATATTAAAAGAAAAAGAGAACAACGACAACAACAACAATAACAAAAAAGAAACTCATAAATATTGTAAAATTTAGGTCAAAAATTGTATTTTATTTTATCCGAGCATTTCTTCTGATCACACATTACATCGATCATCAAATTTGATGAGATTGAAATCTTTCCTTTTTTTCTTTTCTCTCATGTGAAAACTCAATTACATATATATGTAATGTTGTTCCGAAAGATTTACATCTTTTCATTCACATACAAATATGCTATTACAACAATAGAATGAACAAAACAACAACAACAACAACAACAACATTTCTTTCTTTTCTATTTTAATTTGAATTAATTAAATATTAAAACCTGATTTCAAAAAAAAGGAAAAAACTAACTTGACGGATAAAAATCAACAGATGCAGCTGGTGAAGAATGATCGTCAATTGAGCTACTTCGACAATTATTCTCAATTCCGGAATCTTCCTGATGCTCTTTCAATGGTAATGGAGTGAATGTTAAACAATCGTCTCTTTGCTGCAATGAAAAACGAATTAATTTCAATAAAATTGAATAATTAAAAATTCTAAAATATTTTCAATATCGAAGCAAATATTTAGTTTTGAAATATTTCGAGAACTTTTTTTTTAACCATCAAAATTTGCATTTTAAAAATTTGAGGGAAAAACTTTTTCAAATATTCAAACAATTATATTATTAATTTTTTATTCATAAATATCAGCTATATAAAGATATATTTTTATATAATATATTATATTTCGATGATTCGAATATTTCTAATTAACAAATCAACCAATTAACAAAAATTGTTTCATAATATAATTTCTTAAATTAATTGTTTCATTTGTTCACTTCATTATAAATTCATTAATTATAGTTAATATTTGCTTTTCTTTAACGCATGATTTATCATAAAAGTATTAAAAAAGCATATCAGAATTAAAAAAGGAAATGAAATAATGGAAGGAAATCTAATTTGATGAGAGGTAACCTTTAAAAGGTTAAATTGAACGAAAAAATTTTCTTTCTCAAATTCTTCTCTTTCACATAAAACAATCTTTAATCTTAAAAATCATTTGAATGAAATAAAGAGAGGGAAGAAATTTGCATAGTTAAAAGATAAATTTGAAAGATTACACAAATGTTAATTGAAATTCAATGTCACACATTTTATGTTTTCTTTTTCCTTTACAAAATAATAATTATTTGATCGAATTTATTAAATAATAAAGAAATTCAGAAACAAAAGAAAATAATTAAAAAAAATAGTTTATTAATCAATTCATTCAAATATAATTCAGTAATTGTGATGAGTTGCCTTAAAGAATTTCTTAAAGAGCTTCCTTAAAGAGTTTCCTTAAAGAAAGAAACTCTAAATTAAAATTAAGATTTTAACCATTGATATTTATGTGAATTATATGAAATACATTAATAGAATTAAATGAATATAATAAACATTTTGAATGAATGCTGACAAATTACTATTAATTAACATATAAGTCAATCAATAATAGTTATCCTAAAATAAGACAACCAAAAGAAACAGTTTGAATTTAGTTTGTTTTTAATTGGCAAAAAAAAGAATCCGATTTAATTATTATTTGTTTTAAATCAAACATATATTTTTTAGACAATAAATTATTGAATTAATTTAATTTAAAAGAAAGAATTGCTAAGAGAAATATTTGTTTTAGTACTGAAATTTCATTTAAACAAATTAATCGATAACTCAAAATTAAATAGCAAAGAAAGAACAAAAATACTGAAATAGTATAGTTTAGGATGGGAGAAAAAGAATTAAATTATTTTAATACTAAAATTATACAAAAATACCGGCGAAATAAAAATCCTAATCGCTGTTTGTGGTATGAAATATGTCATTGTAGTAGTTTCATCGATTCCTTCAATAACAGCATAGCTATTATTATGATTATTAATCTTATTATAATTATTACTATTACTATTAATATTATCATTCATTATATTATTTCCATTTTGTTCATTTATTAATAACGAATATTCCAAATTACAGCTTATTTGATTGATTTTATAAGCTGTTCCATCTTTCTTATCCCATAAATTATACATCAAATATGTTGTATCACAGTTACGAAATTGTCTCAAATGAATAATTAATCGTTGTTGTGATAAATTACAATTGATCATACTTTTCCAGAAATTATATAATTGTGATGATTAAATTAAATTCGAATATTTTCGTGATTTTGATAAAAATTCCGTAAAATTAATATCTTCTTTCGGTGATTGAATCATTTGATAATCTATCCAATTTTTGAGAAAGCTTCAATATATATAGAATTAATTTCAAAATGCTATAATATCGAAAGCGATAAATTAATTATTGAAACAGGTATACGGTTTGATGATGAATATAAGGGTCATCATTAATATAGCATGTTTCCATTGAATGTAAATTTATCTGATCCATAGTAATAACCGGAATATTCTTGATAGAAATTACAGAATCCAAAGCGTAATTTGACATCGTTATTTCATAGAATCAGGCGAGTGATGTTGCAAAACAGACATTGAATTTTTTGATGAGTGAAGAAAAATTGGTTCACTGAGGAAAAGAAATGAGATAATATTTTGAAGGAATTGAGGGCAAACCTCAATTAGGCCTCCCTCAAATAGAATTCTTATAATTGAGGAGAAAATAATGCAACAATAATTTTAGAAGTTATTTTCTTTGGTTATTCTCATAATTTTCAAGCCGATTATTCTCCCAAAATTAAAACTTTGTTTTATTTCTTTACAAAATATTAGAATTTAAAAATAAAAGAGCTAAATGAATTGTATAGAAAAGATAAAGAATGTTTAATTCATTCATTAAAAAATCCGAATCGTTAGTTCGTTTTCAAATTATTCATTTTATCATTTTCTTTTTTTAATTTATAATTATCGTTTTAATGATATTTTTAATTCCTCCTCTTCTCCATATATGTTCACAAAATCATTATTTCCCCATTTTTAATCAATTATATATGTATATATCATAAATCCTAAGTTAATAGCTGAAATAAATAATCCTAAAAATCCTTAATTGATTATTACCAATGATATTCCAACAATTTCTCCAGTATTTCCCAATAATACAAATAATACTCCCAATTATTATTTTTGATAGTTCAAATGGACTATTTTTCGATTTAATGCTTTAATTAATGAAATTTGTTTTTGTAAAAAAAAGATTAAATTCGTTAATATCAAATACTTTCTATTTCTCCTTTATAACTCATTTCAAATTTCAATTGAACTTTTCAATTAATTCTTTTTGGATTTCTTACTTTTCTCTCAATTTGACTATCTGATAGTCTTTTCCGATATTTCATACAAATATTACTTATATTTTCTACAAATATTATCTACAAAACATATATAATATTATCTACAAAAGGATATTATATCTACAAAACATATTCGACCAAATTGGACACAAAAGAATATACGATAAATAGATATAGTTGTGATATGATAAAATATATCAATACAGTTGTGATATGGTAAAATATATCAATACAGTTGTGATATGAAATGTGATTAGATCAAAAGAAGAAAAGAAGAAAAAGAAACTTCTTTAATTACTATAATAAAAATAATTATTATCTTATCAACAAGCAAAAAACTTGTATATATTAATTTGAACTTCCTTCCATCAATCTTTCACTATTTTATCATTTTTTCTCTTTCTCTCTCTCCTACTTCTGTGCAATAATTAAATTTCTTTCCATTATTTTGTTATCATACCATTTCTTAGCATTTAATTAATTAGAATTGTAAAATAAAGAGCGATCATACTTCTGCATAAAGCCATGTCAAATTTTATAAATTGAATGGAAAATTTCTGCTTCTTTAAATAGGAAGCATTGAAGCAATGATGATTAAACTCGTGAAATGACCAACAAAGGTATCCGTTTGCACACCATTAAGAAGCCCGATGCGGGGCTCGAACCCGCGACAACCAGATTAAGAGTCTGGTGCTCTGCCGACTGAGCTAACCGGGCTCATAAACGCAACCATTGAAATATTCTTAGAAATTCAATCTTCTTAATTTCTATTTAAGTTTACACGGTAAGTCGTTGCTTACAATACTAATGTAATTAATAAATTAATATTTTAACATTTTATTTCTTTCTCTAACTATTGAAAGAATACATAAGATTAAATGAAAGATAATGGGAAAGATTTGATTTATTCATTCAGAGAAATGAATGAATTAATATGGTAATTGATATGGAATTGAATATCAATCTTAAAATTTAAATTTCTTAAAATGCAAAAAATAAAATTATGTCATTAATAATAAAATGTGGTGAAATTTTGTTTAAAAAAATGGAACTGCCAAAATGTCATTTTGATTCATTTGCAAATAGAATTTAAAAATTTAGAACACAATCAATTAAGGCCAAATGATTTTAAAACTTTCCAATGATAAGAAATGCCGAAAAAAAGACGATATGAGTTTAACATCAATAATGTTGTGGTGTTACATAGAGGTCATATCATTAAACATCTTCCTTTTATTTCCCTTTTCTAAAGATAACTTCTAAATAATAGTGCATTATTCTAACACAATAAATTATTCTGATTGCACATTTTAACATCGTAATGTCAAAGGTTAAATAATATTTCAATTAATTTTTCAAGGATTTTTCTACTCTGCATACACTTATGATGATGATGATGATGCCGATGATGATAATTACAGTGGAAACAGACGGCATATGTAAATTATAATGCTCCTCGAAGAAAATGAAACATTTAGGATAGCAAAGAAAATTTATTAAAAACTGTCAATAAGAAAAAAATTTGCTCCCATTTTTTATGTTATTATTAATTAAACTAATCATTTGAATTGAACTTTTATAAAAGATATTATTTTTATTATAAATTCCAAAATACAAATTCAAATTTATGAATGAATGAAAAACAAAAAATAATTCCATTGAAAATGGTATTTAAGTAAAAATGAAAGTTCTCGATGAAAAGCGAAAAATTAGTGATGGAAACTTTAATTGCTGCATTTCATTGAATAATGAATCGTAGAAATCTTAGATGTGATGTAAAATGGTGTCATTTGATGAACTTTGACCCAAAAAAGGGGTAAATACCAATAGGAAAAACAAGATTTTATGATAAAAAGGATGTTAAACTTTTCGTAAAAATAAATAGAAAATTACTTGATATTTAGCAAAATGTTAAAGATAAACTTTAAGTATTAAATGAGAAATTAATTTTCTATAATAGCAATAAAGGTATTTCCACCTGACAGATTATACTAATACTGAAACAGAAATGTCTAATGAGTTTTACTAACGATGGATGCTGTTGTCATTGAAGTGTATATGTGTACGTATATGTCTGTGTATGTGTGTGTGTGTGTGTGTGTGCTGACAACAATTGTGATGGTAATATTTTCGTTAGTGTCATTAGTACATTAAGAAATGAGGACAGTAGCAATAGTATCCCCGCTATCTCTCCTCCTCCCCGCCTTTTCTCTCTCCCTAATATATTGTTGCAACTTTCTTGAACCATTAAAATCTCCTCGAGAATTACGCTTTCGAGATTTCATCAATTTTCCTCCAACAATATCGCAAATTGTGACAATTTTAAAAATTGATCATTTCGCATATTTTCATTTCTTTGTTAAAATAAACATTTTCTCCTTTTTCATATTCATTAGCATTATGCTAATCGATGAAGAAAGCTAAAAGCATATACAGTTGAAGAACTTAACTTATATAGAATGATAAAGGAATTATTATCAACATGATAAAGTAAATAATTTAATAATCAAAATAATAAAGATTCATTAAATAATTAAATGATAAGATAATAGAAAGAAGTTATTGAAATATAACATATTCTATTCATTTCTACAAAAAAATCCGTTTTTCTACCCGTTTTTTCTCATAGTAATTTTATCACGCCTATACATAACATACATTATTGATTTATTAAGGTATGTATTTGATAAATAATGTCGTGTATTTAAATTTCTATCTTTTTAAGTTACATATAGAGTTTATTAAATTTGTTAAATTTTTTCACACACATAAAATCATCATCATCATCATCATCATCATCATCATCATCATTCAGATAAAATATTGTTAAAAAAGTTACAACATATATTCAGCAAAATTTTTTTAAGAATTCAAAATGGAAAAATTTCCCTATGAGAATTGATGAGATTTTTAAATCACATTTTTTCTCTACACATATTATCAAATTTCACTTGAAGTATTATCATTCTAAAATACATATGAATAATACCATTATTATTATCATTAATAAACTTCTATTATTGCGATAACGAACATGAAATGTTCCATCTGCCTACGACACCAATAATTTCGTATAAACTAAAACAAATGATAAATTTGATATATTTATCACTTCCTGTATCATTTCGTATGCATACAAAAATGAAAAGAAACTTATAAGAGAATCTTAAAAAGATAAAAGAACACAATGGAAGAATATTTGTTGGGTTATCATTGAAGAAATGTTTGAAATCTTTCTATGTCTAAAAAAGAGGAAATAAATCAATGAGTATAATTAATTATTGACACTGTCAACAATTAAGGATCTATTATTCAATTTGAAGCATAACAAAGTGGAATAAAAAGGTTTCTTTTTAAGGATCGTTTAAATGGAATGAAAAGACTTCTATTCCTTCTGTTTTCCTCTTTTTTGGTGTTTAATCTTAAATAGAAGAATATTTTCATTTGAAATAATTTCATTTTTAGGGATGAAAATAATACCGTAACATAGAGATCACAAAGAAAAAAAGATATAATATATAAAAACATGCAATTAGAAACAAAAGAAAGGAAAGTTTTGGAAGAGGAAAAGAAAAAAACGGCACAACGATACAATATAACAATATATGATATAGTGCGAAGCTAAACTTAAGCATTAAGTTAAACGTAAAAAAGAAGAAAGAAAAGTTAAAGGTCAAAATATTTGAATGCGAAAAATTGATGCTTACAAGTGTGTATGTGTGATGTGTATGTGCATGTGTGTTTGTGTATATATATGTGTGTGTATGTGTGTGTTATGTATGTACACACCATAATAACTTGTGAACATAAAATCAAATGTAAAAAAGAAAAGAACGGAAAAGTTAAACAAATATGCCTACTACGTTGTTGCATAATGCAAATATATTTATCTGTTGGTATATTAATTGAAATTAAATATTCTTAATTGATATACAGAAATGTATATATATATAATTGAAATAATGGAGAGGGAGAAGGAAAAGTAAATGAGAATAAAATATAGCAAAATGTTTATTGCTTAAAAAGCATAAAAGATTTGAATAAAAAAATTTCAGTATTTGCATCATTTCTACGAATTTCCTTTTTAAAACTTAATAACCTTTTTTGAATCAGTGATTTTATCGTTTCTTGACTCCTTTCGATGATGTTGTTGTTGTTGTTGCTGTTGTTGTTGTTGTTGTTGTTGTTGTTGTTGTTGTTGTTGTTGGGTTATTTTACTTTGAGCAATATCTTCCCGTTCTTTATTCCTGAGAAAGATCATTTATAATTGTTAAATTAGCATAAGATGTAATTCATGTAAGATAAATTATTTTAATTTAGATGATAAAAAATAATAAAAAAAAATAAACTAAATTCATTTTAGCATTATTTTGGGATAATTCCATGAATATAACTTTTATAATTAATTAATTAATTGAGTGAAAATTTGAATTATAAATTACTGCTTATTTTTAAACGATTTTTTTTCAAAACACTTAAAAACATTTACTCAAATATATTTTATAATCCATAACTGAAATATATCTTATAATCCCATACTTATCTATTTATAAAATAATCTATTGATGATAATAAATGATGTCTGTCTGCTTTCTGTTTATGTAAAAAAGAACTTTTTCCCTCCAACATTTTAATTATTTCATTTTTAGAAAATTAAAAACAGAAACCTATTGGAAATATTAGTTGCATCGATATCATCTTTCCATCTTAATATAGCTGTCTTTCGTTTTGATAACCATGAATCTAAATTTGATTGCCATCCTGTTTCATCATCATCATCGTTATACTGAAATTATTATGTGTTAATTTGAAATGAATAAAATTTCAATCGATTTCGCAATAACTAACTTTTCCTAACTTTCTTCTCAAAAAAGTAAACTAAATCTTGCAATCGATATTTTATTTCAAATATAGCATATAAAGTTAGCATTGATAAATTTGAAAAATTAATAAGAAAAAAGATAATGAACGAATGACACAATTAAATATATTAAAATCCTAATTTATTTGCTTATATTTTCAAAAAAAAAATTCGATTTAAAAATTGAACTATTAAAAAAAATTAGTTGCTGATTAAAACTTCGTTTATTTGTACCATATTTTTGCGAAATTCATCACGTATCCGTTTCTGTTGATCGGATATGATAAGTTGTTGTTTAGCTTGTTCGCATAAAGCAATTGCGCCTGATTGTGCGGTGACAAATTGTAAAGGATTATGCGCTACCTATAAATGAGAAATATAATTTATATAAAAATAAACTTTTAGGAATAACACTAACAAGTAATTTCAGCAAAAAGGACTAATAAGTAATTTAAAATGTTATATATATTTTTCAACATATCCCACAGATTTTTGTTTGTTTTAAATATTTACTGAAAGTAATCTGAAATGTTTGCTTAATAATTGAAAATAATGAAGTAATGATTTTTTATGGATTTTAGAATTTGTCAAAACTAATTTGAAATGTTTGTCGAAATGTCTACATAGTTGTTAAAGATAATGAGAGAAATATGCAGAAAAATACTTTCAATACCTCAATTAATATCCATAAAAGAATGATACTACAAAAATTTACAATAAAACGAAAAATATTTAGCAAATTAGCCATTATTTTATGTTAGTTATAAATGAATAATATTTTAATTAATAATATGAAAAATGTGTGGCACGTAAATGAAAAGTATTGCAATTGAAAGAGTAAGAAAACCTTAAATTATCTGGCATGATCTAAGGTTAAGATTTAATTCATACATACACGCACATCAAAAAATCTAACAAATGATCGGTTCTGTCCTCCGAAGTTTAATAAATCTCACTTTACTTAGGTTGATAAAAATTCAAGTAATTCATTTATACAAACATTGGCGTCATATTCTTTTCGTATCAATCAGTTTTAATAAAATATATAATTAAGAAAAATTAGCAATTTAAATTTTGAAGTAAATTATTCGATTTAAACTGCAATTCTGCAATTCTAATATTTTTTTTATTAATTATTTGATTACTAATGGAAATACTAATTTGTGTGAATCGTAAAAATGCTTTATATCTCTCAAGAATGGAATGGATTAAATGAAATGATAAAATATATCATTTGTTTACTATAATTCGATTATTCTCACATACTTAAAAAAAGTATATGAAATCCAACAATTTAGTATTTTTTAATACAAATTCAAAATGTGTTGTTCATATCTTAACAGATCAAATTTAATAAATATCTACCTTATTTTGTTTGATTTTATTTTGATAAAAAATTAAAAATTTAAAACGATAAATTTAAAATTCATTAGATTATAAAATAATAGAATCATCTAATGGAAATATTTACCTAATTTTAATTTAAATTAATAGAATAATATATACCTGTGATGTAAGCTTGAGTTGTTGTCTTGTGGGTATTAATTGTTCACTATTTTCTGTACTTCGTTCACTTGCATTAGATGGACCACTACGGCTATCGTTTGTTCCAGCTGAATAACTGTAAAGCAAAAAAATAAATATAATAACAAATTTTAGAAAAATTGTTAAAAATGAAAATTAATCAAAGATTTCAAATCAAATTATCGATTCCTTTTTCATTTTCATTTATGAAAAATTATCAACAATATCTATCAGAAAAGGAATTTCTATGATAAGTTAAAACTTGCTAGATTTATTCCTTTCATCAATAATTAAATTCAAATTGCAAACATACAAAAAGAAAAATCAAAAACTATGCGATTTTCCTTTACTAAAATAATAGACAAATGAAATAAATTATTAGCAAATATTAATAATAATATACGACAAACAAATAAGCAAAAAACTAAAAATTTAAAACCTGCTCAGCTCTTCGGTGGAATATTCGCTATTTAAATCTGCCAAATACTTTACTGTATACTCTTTACTGTAATCCATTGCTGTAATAATTCCCTAAAATTAAATTTTTCTGAAAAAGAAAATTCTTTTAATTTATGTAAATTTGACAAGCTGATATGATAGTGAGGAAAAAAGTATCCCAATTAGCCTTCATCTTCCACAAATTTATTGTTTATCAGAAATTAATCAGCAAATTGTCCCCAATTAATTAATAGCATATCTTTTCAGACATTGATTAGATCTGACAATTCATGTAATAAAATTATGCATATTTAACCGAAAAAATTAAAATAACTCCGTGTATTGCAGGTATACCTGAATAGTTATCGGTAGGCAATTAAAGAATTCAGGTATACCTGAATGCTCATAATGAATCTAAAAATAGTAAAAATCTATGTGATTAATAAATAAGTATATAACAAACATTATCTATTTATGAGAAATATTGGATATTGAAGAAAAATAAAGAATTAATAAATCGATATTTATAGAAGAAATAGCATAAATAAATATCGATCCAGTAATTTATTAAAGCATCAATTATAATTTTCTATATGAAATAATATTAAGTATAGAAGTAAAGAATATATAATGTATACATGAAAATATCTGATATAAGTATATACTTCATCAATATCAACAAAGAAATATTATCATATATTCAATAATCAGCAAGAAGTTATCAATATTCCGTTACTAATGTATTAGAAGAAAAATAAAGATTATTGATTGGATATGTTTGATAATTAATTATAACACAGCTATTTCTAGTACAAAGTACGATAAGTGGAATAATTAAATATAAAAGGTATAATAATGAAAGGATGATAATTATAATGATAAGTGTACTAATTATAGTAACATAGTTACTTTAAGTATGATAAAATATAGTAATTGGCATGATAATATAACAATTAGAATGATAATTAGTACGATAATTTCGCATAACAATTACAATATAATGTAAATGTATTGAATAACTGATCTCTGAAGATAAGATTTTTACACTTTAAATATTACCAACCAATTGTTTATTTATTTATTCGTTTCTTTATTTAATATTTTTTTTGAATAATTTCTAAGAGCTTTAAATTTAAACAAAACATCAAAGTAAAATATTAATGAGAAGAAGGTAAGCATTATTTTTTAACTATACAACGAGAAGTTTTACACAATAAACGATGATGAGTTATATTTCAAGAGGAGAAGAAAACGGAACAGTTTTCAATATGATGACGAATTAAGAATTCCGGAAAACTATTTCAATTAATTAATAAGAAAGAAAAACGGATATTCTAAGACATTTTTCATTACCAATAGAGAATGACATACAGAGAGGTAGAGATGTAAAAAGCAAACTGTGGTTTTCATGTTAAACATCTTAATAAACTATAGGTGAAATTTCCCGCGCACTACCGTACATATAATGATGTACATTTGATGTTACGATAATATATCGTATCATCCAATTCATAGATTTTTTTTAGATTTAAAGAAAATAAATAAAAAAGTTTGTTTTAATAAAAAAGATTTTATTTATAAAAATTAGACAACATGCAATATGTTATATTTGAATAGAAATTATTGTTTTAATAGGATAAAATTTTATTGTTTATAAAATGAAATCTTACAAAATAAATAATTTAAAAAAGTGAAAATTCATCGAATAATTATATTACAGTAATATTAATTGTAAAATGAAATTCATTATGTGAGAAATTATAGTTGTAAAATGATAAGATTTAATCAAATAATCAATTAAAAAAAAAGATGAATTAATAGTTCACAATGGAAGTGATAATGAAATTTGCACTGTAAAATGTAGTAATTAAATAATTAATAAAATGAAAGTAATCGATAAAATTTATGTTTAAAAAAAGAAAGGAAGAAAAAAGGCAACAAACCTCGTCACTGCTTGTTGTGTTCAGTTGTGTACGATTGATAATTTCATCGTTAAAACTATAACAATACTTAGGACGATAATTTGATGTGTGGTAGATAAGTAGTATTTATGTAGAAAAAATGAAAAAAATCTCCCACAGATATTTTCCCTATTTTTTCAACATTTTCTTTTTATAAAATTTCAAAAGAAAAGAAAATAGGACATTTTGTATTTCTAAAATTACTATCAGATTTATATTTTGAAATTTTTGTTCGTATATTTTATTGTAACATAAATGAAATTATTATCACATAAATAAATTATCATAAATAAATAATATATAAATCAACATAAATAAATTATCAAATGTTTGCATATTTTAAATATTAAAATAAAAAAACTGTTATACGATTAGTCGGTTAAAATTATTTTTCAAGGTTAATCAATAATGAATGATAAGCTATGAAAGAATAAAGTTAGTAATAGTTAAGCAATTTAAATGTTAAAATTTATGATTATCATTTTTTTTAGAAATGATAATGATAAGGATTGATAGATCTGATAGACATAATAAGTTTTAGCGCCTATTAAATATGTTGCTAACTTAAGCCAAAACAAGCCTGCATGATAATTGTTACCCTTAGACTTATACTTGACAGATTTTACAAATTTTAATGCTAAATTTGGGTGTATATGAATATGGGTGAGTGTGTGTGTGTGTGTGTGTGTGTGTGTGTGTGTATCTGTGGATGGATGTCTATGTTACCTACAATCAATATGAAGAATAATCAATCAATATACATACAATTATTACCAACAATGACTTACTAATTATCGGTTTGTCCCTCATTCTTATTTTCATGTATTTCATAGACATTAGTAATACAAGCTATGAAGAGTTTATTGATTAGTATGAGAAATATGAGCGATGGCCTTTATCACCTAATTCACACGAAAAAGTTACCTATGAGTTTGAATTGAAGCATTTACGGCATTTGGCTGCTCAGAATATCCTGATAATTCTCAGTTTATAATCATACTGATCATATAATTATATTTCCTTAGCTTAATTACAATTCTTATCTATCGCCTAATTCTTATCCTTCGGGAGGATGAGGGAATAGTTGTGATCGTATCCGTTGTGATTTTATGAAAAAGAAGATCGTATCCAATAATAAATTATCCATGATATATATAATATGTAATATCTTAACTAGATTTAATCGATGTAAATTGTCCAATTTTATTTTCAAATTTAATTCCAAAAAAAAGTTAAAAGATAATAATGATATGATATTATATGTTAATATCAATTTTATTATATCATATATTGTGAAAGAAGTAAATATGAAATATTTACCTAACTTGTTCAACAAGCGATGAAACAACATAAATTAAATCAAAATTTGATCGACTAAGAATTGTTCGTAGTGATGGATTTGGACGATTTCGACAAATGAATAAATGATATTGTATTAGCGGTTCCAAGGCTGTATAATCAAGTTGTGGGATATGTACAATGCTATTGCATGCATTGAACAACGCCAAAACTGTAGCACAAAACTGAAATAGAATAATAATTCAATTATTTTCATTTAAGTTTATTTTGATGATAAGATAGAAAAGTTGTCAAAATAATCGTAGAAAGGAAAAAGAAGAAATGAATTTATTAGTTATAATTGGGAAAAGATTTGAAGAAAAATAAGAGAGAAAAGATAAAAATATATTTTGTATCGATGAAAGACTTAAAAAATATTTATTAAATCCAATTTAAATATTTAACAAATTTTTCAAAATTATTAGAAAACGCAATAATTCGTTTAATTTTTAATTAAATAATTAAGATAGAAACAAAGCTAAGACATTCTTTTATGAATGTAAAAAAACGGTTAAATTTAATTTTCCTGGCCGATATTAAATCTTTTCACGAATAATTCGAACAACAAAAAAAAATTCTTTCTTATTTAAACAAACCCTTCGAATTCGTATGCTGTCGTAATTTTCGCATTTCGAAAACTTTCCTGCTGCAGCTAATGTCAGTCTACAATTGAATTCAAAGAATGCAAATCTTTTCTATTAGATAATCATATCTGCGAGTGAGCAATTAAAAATGTAAATATTTATTGATAATTATTTCAATAGAAACAAATTAAATCTATTATATGATAATAATAATTTTATTAAATTGTCAATGAATTTTTATAGAAATATTTTAATGTGTGGTGAATAAAAGGAAATGAAATAAATATCTTAGAAATGAAATTGAATTAAAATAAATGAAATGAATATTTCGTTAATTAAAAAACAAAAAAATTAATCAAATATATTGCTAATCTATTCAAAATAATAATTAATGACATAAATAACAACAAAATTGAAATGAATTATTTATTTTATACAATTTCTTTTTAATTATTAATTTCGAATGAATTAAAATTTTATAATTTCACACGGAAATTAATGTTTAAATAATTGATAAGCTTAATTACATCAAATTAACCTTTCTTTTAAATTTTTTATTAGACTTTTTTTTGTCTTACCCAATCCACCCATTTATTTCTATTAGTGAATAATAACTGATAATTAATTAATAGATATATCAATAACAACAGTAATGATACTACCATTCATCGCTTCCTCTAATTGTTGCACAAATCGTTGGGATGAAAATTATATTTTCATCAGATTAAAATGAAAAAAAGAAATCCCAATTATATTTTTCTATCATTTAGCTGAAAAAATTTTTTCATTCTCCTCTTTTTACAATTAAAAAAATTTTAAATTTTGAAATTTAACTATAAAATTTTGATTGTGATAATCGGATTATCAAATCGTTCAATTTATTAAAATTTGCTAATTAATAAACTTTTATTAAAATAATATGTTATGATTAAAATATGAATTGGATTGTATTTTTGAAGAAAATTTGCTACTTATAAAGAATGAAAAGTAATTTAAGATGAGAAGTTGATGTTAAAAGGAAATTTGTCACAATCGCCTAATTTTAGTGTAATATTTTCAATGTAATATTATTACGACATTACTATTATCATCTATTCTTATATGAAGCAAATTTTGACAATAATTATTATGCTTTGGATTAAATTTCATCCATTAAAATTTCATTCAAAAATTTCATTTGTTAAAATTTCATTCATTAAGTTTTGAAATAAATTTCATCGTTCTTTTCCTTTTGACAATAAAAATATTTTTTAAACAAAATTATGCAAATTATTCGAAATAATTAAAAAAGAGAAAAAAATAAAAGAAATTAAAATTTGGCTTAGAAATATTTTTATTATTAAAAAAATTAATATATAATTTCTATTTATATTTCTATTTTTTGTTTTTTCGTTAATTACTACTTTGATTGGAAAGAAATTAAACATTTCAATTAAATATTTTAAAATTTCAAAACGTTAAATTATATATTAAAAAAAGTTTCAAACATACATTTCTAATATATAATTTAAATCTCAAAAACTCATATTCCAATGAACAATTTCATTGTGTAATAAAACTATTTCAAATTCTAAATATTATTTAAGGAAAGAAAGAAGACATATTGGATATTTTGATTTTAGAATATTCAATTTAAGGATCAATTCAAACTATTTAAGTTATATTTCATTTCATTAAGATTTTATTTAAATTTAAAAATTTTTTGCAAAATGTTAGATATAAAGAAAGAGGAAAAAGCAAAATGTTAAATATAAAGAAAGAGGAAAAAAGGAAATATTGAAAAAGAAAGAGTGAATGGAATTTGTGATAGAATGGAAGGATTAACACTTGAAAAGTCGTTTTAAGAAGCGTTTGTGAACGAAATTGTGTTCATAATAGAGAAAGGAAATAAATGGATGTATGAATTAAAATTTCTTTAAATTATACTTTCAATTTTAAACTTTGACCTATAAATCAAAATATTTAACTTCAATTGTTTGAATTAAAAATTGACTGTCAGCAATTGTTTATGTGAGTTAAAAAGTAGTAATTAATATGAATTATAAGAGAGGTTAAGGTATTTAAGAGCAACAATAAATGCGGAAACAAAACCATTAAGTTTAGATAATATTAATTAAAATTATTAAATTATAATTATTAGAATATGAAGGTATTATAATAGCTGAATAGTCCTTTGTTTTATCCTTGTTTTTGGAAATTAGATGGAATAAAAATTGCCTAATTTCTAAAAATTTATTTCAGAAGAAACGGTAGGAAATTTAAAAACCGTAAAAAATAAGATCCAAATTTTGGAAATATTAATTAAACATTTTTTTTGAAAGAGATTTATTTTAATTGGAATTGATTAATTATAAATAAATGTAAAGCTTAGAAACAAACAAAATAATTTAATATATAAATAATAAAATAACAAAATAATTTTATATTTTTATTTTAGCAGGATAAAACAATACATTAAATACTGTCAAATAATTATTAAAAAGAGGCAAAATTTGTTGACACATTTCTATTCGATTAAAACTTTTACAATTAATTATAATTTTATAAATCGAAATAATAAAAATTTCAATGCAAAAAATATATCCAAAAAGAAATGTGTAAAATTAATAATAAAATATATCAAACATATAAATAATAAAAATAGGCAAATAATAAATAAAATTAAAATGGTAAATAAGCTAAAAATGAAAACCTGAAATGAATGAAAATTTAATTGGAAATGAAAATCAATCAGCCATGAATTTGAATAGAATGGAATTGAATTTAATTGTTATTTGTTAAAAGTGTGAAGAAGCGCTATGGGAAAAGGAGGAAGAAGAAGAAAATGTGATGGATAAAAAGAGGGAAGAGATAAAAGACGGGAAGGTTTTGTAAGAGATGAATTGAAAACGCCACGTGTGATATGATGGTCATTGATGGAATTGAAAACGGAGGAGGAGGAGGAGGGGAGGATTGAAGAGATCATTGAATCATATATAGTTGACAATGACGAATTATTGTCCTTTCATGGCTGATGACGATGAAGATGATAATAATAATAATGATGACGATGATGATGATGATGATGATTTAGTGGAAAAAGAAAATCATGAAAGTTATTTCAAAATAAATACGTATATATCATCTATCCATCTTTCATTGATCATTAACCACTA